GGCCATTTTTTAGCCATACATCGGCTGCATTCAGCTCACTTCACTTCCCTTTGGGTCAGCCGAACAGCCTCAGCACGTTTGGCTTAACCGAAGGGAAGAATCTGTTCGCCCCAGCCGATGCAACATCTGGATCGGCTGTGGCGAACGTTCGGCAGTTTATTCTCTGCTGTTCACCCCTATTTTCATAGGGGCTAAGCAGAAGAAAGTGTCTGCCTCAACAGAATGAAAACTGATGTGTAAACAAAAAACGAATTCATACAGTTCATACCAGACCTGTTAGGAGGGACCCCCGATGTAAAAAAAATAATGGGGGTTCCCCCCCAAAGTCGTACCAGACCCTTTAAGTCTGGTAAGAATTTTAAAGGTGACCCAAACACCCAAAAATCTAAAAGAAAAATGTGTTGTCCCATGTTGACTGAATTCAAATCAATCATGATGAACAACGCCTGCCGACTCGCCGAAATAAATAAAGCCACGACGCCCGTGCCCCCATTCACTTATGGTGAACTCCCCCCACTAAATGACAGATTTGACACCTCTGATCACTAATGTAACCAGATGTGACATGATGACTTGCTCCGTCCATTTGTTTTCATGCCGTTTCAGGTCAGTGAGCTGCCATGGCATAAAAACAAATCGGCGGAGCGAGTTGTGACGTCACGGATTCTCCGCATTTGGCTTGGCTATGTGCTTCGGCTGCTGTACGGACTATTGTAAATAGTCCGTACAGCAGCCCTTCGTTCCGCTAAAGCGAGCCTAAGGTTCATCTAAATCTTTTGGCAGCTTAGTGCATAACCCCCTAAAAGTGTCAACAACAAGGAGGAGCATCCATTGTAAGTAGTCAGCATTTGAAATAATTTAAAAACCTTTTGACTTTTATATCACTTTAAGTTCTGTACGTGCCAACCTTTTTTTGGGGCTGTATATAGCCCTGCATAATTGTATTACATAGCTCAATACATACAAATGTCCGGTTGTCTTGGAATGATATATTCAACTTGCCCAACTCCACGTTACATACTTGAACCATATATTATTATCCTTAGAATTGGCCATCATGCTGGTCACATCATTTTGTATCAAAAAGAAACATTGATATGATGTAAAAATGTAGATGTTCCACAGCACAATGCATGGACTACCCACTGATTACTGTACTGAAACCGATGCCCCTGTCAGCAAACCCTTTAGAGTGACACTAAACTCAGGAGTTAAATTGTAAAAATGCATTCAGGTACCTCAACTATTAACAAAAATGTATCTTATTTGTGTATCACTCAGCTGTAGATCCTCCAATCATCTCTGAATTGGTGCTGACACTGCCCTTCCTTCTGGAGGGTGACTACTTTTGTTCCCCATGTACCCAGTGTGTGTTGTAAAGTAGTCACCGCTCCAAGCTCACTCCTGTAATGTACTACAAGGAGTGAGCTTGGAGAGGCGGCTACTTTACAACACACACAGGGACCATACAGAACAAAAGTAGTCACCCTCCAGAAGGAAGGGCAGTGTCAGCACCAATTCAGAGATGATTTGAGGCTCTACAGCCGAGTCATACACAAATAAAGGTGCCCATACACTCTGCGATTATCGTTCGGAAATCGTGCACACATGGTTTTTCTAACAATAATCGATCAGTTGATGGGAACCTAACGCTTTTAATTACTGTACTTCTTGCCAAATTCCCTCGATTGTTCTGGCTGGAAAACTTTTTTCAAATCGTATGAAAATCGATGGATTAATGGCGTTTTCGTACGAAAAAAACACAGCAAGAACGCTGCACGTGCTCAAATCAAAATCTGTTCTGTCGAGTGACAAAATTCGGTGGATTACTATTGCTAACAAACAATTATCGAAATGGACATTGGTGTGTGCATGATGGGGTATTTGAGTGCAAATCGAACGAGGGTTCGATGACGGCACGAAAAAAATCTAACAATAATCGCAGAGTGTATGGCCAGCTTAAGTTTCTTAAACCAGTTCAGTGACAGGTAAGTAAATAGGCCTAAAACAATACTACAATGCAAGGTCTCTCTTGTGCATTTTATACAGCTTGCATATGCAATTTTATCTATTTATGTAATGAAAATGAAAATGCATATGATAAATATAAGTAAAATCTGCTCTGAAACCTGAATTTAATGTCTCTCTATCCTCAGCCTGTCCAGCAAGCTTTCCCACACCAACTGTGGAGGTAGAATTACCATCCAGTAAAGATTTGCAATCCAGCAATTATATAATAAAATGCTCAGTTCTGGGCAATCCAGATCCCAATCCAAATCCAGATCCCAGTTCGGTATATTTAAAGTTTGATGGCAAAACATCAAATAAGAAAAGCACTAAACACACACGAGTAAACAATCAAAAGGTTGTATACAGTTTTGAAGTTACCAGTGAAGAATGGAAGTCAATTAAGGAAGTATCCTGTGTTGTGAAGCAGCCCTGCTCTATGCCGGAGGTTTCTGAAAAGAAAAAAAAAAGTAAGTATATTCCTCAGTAAACTTTCAGCCAATGGAAAAACACCAAACCTAAATAAAGGTTTACTAGAATACAAAACTCCCAAGCAACTTACATTATCTGTTGCAGCAATATAGAAAATGGGAATCTAAATTGTAATTTGTGTATGTGTGCTAAAAGAGGTGGACACATTATGTAGATTATTTTATTTAGAGGCTTCGGGACATGTGAACAGTCACACAAACCACTTCATTTTCTTTTTTATTTTGTTAAACAATTTTGACTGGTACAATGCAAAAAAAGACCACACAGTTGTAAAAGGTATGCACAATAATAAACAATACAAGTAGTCAAGACCTCACAGAAATGAGAACAACCTGATAACATCATATAACAAGGTAGATTCAGAATTGGTCACATAAATTACAAAGATATGGACATGAAACCAATCAGCGTGCATCCAATTATGGTGGAAAACATTTTCAACTTATAACAAGGTGCAAAAAGTCATGAGGGGGAAATAACCAGACCAAATGAGCCTATGATGTCCAGGGGAACCACCTCAAGACCTCAAGCAACCTGGCCATTTCATTTTCTGCTTAATGCAAAATTACAGTTTTAGGAGATTGGGTACACACAGATTAATGGTCTGTATATCTGATCTGCATGTACAATGCTAATTCATTCGACTTGTGAGATACAATTCATAGGGAGCCAATAACAAAGAATAATCTAAAAAAATGTTTTTAAAAGACTAAGCTGATAAAACAGAGCAGATCCTGCTCCTAATTAACAAAGGGATAGCCAATTAAAAGATAAAATAACAGAAAAGGGTTTTGCTGCAATATTGAACTTTGTACACAGATTTTCCCCACAGTACTTTTTTTCTGCCACTAGATGTCCTTATTCTGAGGGCCAGCATCATTCAACCCACCTCCTCTGAGCCCAGATTATCATGGACCCACCTCAGTCTGTTATTGAACAGTGAAAGGAGAAGCAGCAGAGCAATTAACTCATCTCTCTTTATTTTTAGTGCTTATTCTTATCAGCAGTCTTCTTTTCAGCACATGAACGTATTGACTCCTTGTACTGCTTCCACCTCTAAGGGCTTGTTCACACCAAGCGCGGAGCAGATCCAGACCAGAGCAGATCCAGACCGGATCAAAACTGCGTCCAATGTGTTCCTATGGTATTTTGACCTCCAGTTCACATCGCAGCGTGCGGATCCAGACCAGATCCAGACCAGATGAAAAAACTGCGGCAAGCCCTATTTTACCTGCTCTGGATCTGGTCTGGAACGCATCAAAAACGCATCTAAAACGCATCAAAAACGCAACGCAATGCAACCCAATGCAATTCAATGGGAAAAAATAACCATAAAGAAAAAAAACCTCTATGGTCATCTGTCATGACCTAATCTTCCTTTGTCACTTCCTGTCTTTGGAAGGGACACATCACATGCAAACATTCCTACCTAGATATCGACATGCGGGTGTATGAAAAAAACTTGTCTGGGTGTGCACGAAGGTCTGCATATAGAGTCCCAAACTGGCCCTTTGGATCTCTTTCTCTCATCAGTGGGTGCACCCAAAAGCGACGTCTCCTTACAGCACTTTGGCGTAGCAGTATAATAACCATCACCAGGAGCATGCCTGCATCCCATGGATCCATGTTGCAACAATTTTACATGTGAAACAAGGTCAGAGGAAGCAGGAAATAATCGGAACAGCTAATGAAAGGTCAAAGGTAAAAGGAAATGACCAAATAACCTTGTTAGCTTCCTGGAAAAAATGCATCAAAAACGCATCAAAAACGCGTCAAAAACGCATCGTGCGTGTGCAGAAACCTGACCGGATCTGGTCTGCATTTGGTGTGAACAAGGCCTAACAGTCAAGTTCTGTTGTACAGGGCCCTCAAGAGGCTGATACCCTTGTTCCCAGTTATTGTCATCTGCATGAATGGGGAATTGGACCCCTACCTTCAGATGGACCAAAAATAAGGCAGCCCCAAGAAAATGCCTGCAAGGTGTCATAAAGATGCCCATCTAAACCTAGTTGTTATGTAACTAGTTTGAACAATATTTTTATGCATACATGTGCACATTGTGCTGGAGGTATAACAGTGAACATGCACAAATATGACAACGGTGGCCATAACAAGCACATGTACACAATTTCACATGCTGCTGTTTGGAATGAAGATCCCAGCTATGGATATTGTACTTATACATGTGCTGCCTTTTATGCTCTTGTAGCACAGCATTTTTTTCTTTTTGACATGCTGCTATAATGACTGTAGATAGTTGTACTCCTGTTTATCTTTCTTTTAGTAAATCAGGCCAACTATGCATAGGAGGGCTACTGTTATACTAAATGCTATGCATCATTGTTTTTATGTTGTAGATCTTGACAAGCCCCCCAGCATTAAAATTCTGGCATCTTGTTGTGATGGAAGCGACACAGGTACAGTGACATTGGTGAGCACAATCTCCAATTTCTGGCCGCAAATCATTTCAGTTAACTGGTTAAAGAATGGAGAACCCTACCCCAGCAGTACCCCTATCTCCACAATGACGGACAGCAATGGAAATTACGCTGCCATAAGCATACTGAATATTTCCAGGGAAAGCTGGGATCAAGAGGAAACATATACCTGTCAGGTCAATCACCAGGAAAAAATGTTCAAGGAGAATATAAGTAAATGTAAAGGTAAGTAGTGTTATTCTAGCTGTGTTTTGGGTTATGCTTCCTTTTCTTTTTTTTAGATAGTATGTGCCAATTTGTTTTGCAAAATAAAATAAATATATTATAATTAAAAGGATACAGGTGATATTGAAAATACTCCCCCAAAACTGTAGGAGACAAAGCAATAGTCTAAAGCGGAAGTGAAAAGGTATTCCTAAATTTGCATTAAATTCTGCGCAAAACAATGTAGAATTTACCCTGCAGAAAACATTAGTAATTTGGCAGCTGCAGAAATATTGTATAGTATATTCAAAGTATCAGAGAACCAGAATAAGCTACAAACCATGAGACACAAAGCAAGAGTTATCCTGCAGCAAACATTAAACATTTTGTAGCAGAAGTCAAGCTATGGAAACACTGTGCAGTAGTTTTAGAGTGCCAAAAAACACATGCAGCCTGTTATCACTGTAGTGCATGTAGACAAGCTGTAAAGCAGTGGCGGAACTACCGCCGGTGCGGGCAGTCCTGGGCACCCCCACAGCTTCAGTGGGGTCTGGTCCTGTAAGATGGGGCAGTGCAGGGTCGCCGTGTTAAAACACCGGGGCCCCGCACTGCCGATGGGCTTCCCAGTGAGGGGGCGGGTCCTGTGTCTCACCTCCCCTCCCGGCCACGTCCATAGTAACAGGGGGCGGGAGGGGAGGGGAGTCACAGGAGACGTGTGTGTGTCACAAGCCCCGCCCCGCCCCCTGCAGTGCACACATCGACACATGGCTGCTGCTATCCTGGAAGGGTGAATCCGAGCGGGGGAATGGGGGGGGGGCTCTTACTTCATGTAATTAGACATGTGGATTATAATGGGGAATAATACACTGTAATGTTCCCTATTATAATCTATTTCTCTGTTGTGTACTGCTACTTCATGTAATTAGACAAATGGATTATAATGGGGAATATTACACTGTAATGTTCCCTAATATAATCTATTTCTCTGATTAAATGATTACAGACAGCCCTCTGTTCTATCACAGTTTGAGACTACGTTAGAATGTGTGACCACTAATGTGGTCACACATTTAAACGTAATCTCGCCCAGTTTTTCGGCGGTGGAATAGGTGAGAACACCACCATCAGGGGGGTATGGCCGGTACCCATGTGAGGGGTCTGGGTAGCCTCTTACATGGGTATCAACTGTACCGGGGCAGTATGGCAGAGGTGACAGGGAAGGGGGTGGAGGAGGCCGGGCCCCAGCAGCAGCGGTTAAGAAGAGTTGGTAGGAGGTACAGGGAAAGGGATCCCGACTACCAGGCCAGCCCACCTGGGACCCTGCAGAGCCCACCATAGAGAGTCTCAGGTGGGCTATGCAGGATCTATGATGTGCTCTGCAGGGTCTCAGGTAAGTCCAGCATGCTACTAACCATGATTTAACCAAGGCTCTGTGGGCTCTCACCAGGGCTGTTTAACCCCCACAGAGCCCTGTTGGGACCCTACAAAGCCCTGGTGAGACCCTCTAGAGAGTCTCTGGGATTTCACCAGGGCTCTTTGGGATCTCACCAGGGCTCTGTGGGGTCTAACCAAGCTGGCGAGACCCTACAGAGCCCTGGTGAGACCCTACAGAGCCCTGGTTTAACTAGGGCTCTGTGGGGTCTAACCAGGACTGGTAAGACCCCATAGAACCATAGTTTAACCAGGGCTCTTTAGGGGTCTCCCCAGGGCTCTGTGGGGTCTCACCAGACTGGTTAAACCCCACAGAGCCCTGGTGAGACCCCACAGAGCCCTGGTGAGACACCACAGGCCTGAGTGGGGCCTCATGTTTAGGTTTCGCCTAAGGCCTCGCAAACTCTAGAGCCGCCTCTGGCCACTATCTAATAGCGGGAGGCTCCAGGAACGTCCGGGAGAGTTAGGCTGTCTGGAGATCAGTGTCCCTGGTTACCTGGTAACCAGGGACACTGATCTGTATGTACAAGTGGCCGGAGCTAGCCGTGAGATGACGGCTGGCCCCGCACAGCTGTCAGTAGTAGGCTGCCGGCCAGCCAATGGTCGGCTGTTCGGCCAGCTTCGACTTTCACCTGGGCTCAGTTGAGCCGAAGCATATGCCTTCGGGTTGACTGAGCCCCTCGGCCAACTTCGGGAGCTGTACGGGCTATAGTGAAGATTGTGAATATAGTGAAGCTACGGCTAGATACTTCGGCAGCTCTGTGAATAGACCCCTAAGAATTTGGTGTGAAGAATTTCTGTGTTTTCCCCTGGATCTGCTGTGAACCCATGATATTAGCAACTGCAAACCTCTTCCCCAGTAGTGTACAGTATATCTACTCACAAGAAGTATTGCTTGTCCACTGATTTATCTTACAACCTTTAAAGAGACTCTGTCTCCACTTTAAACATGATAAATTAGGAGTAAAGAGCACCTTTAAATACAGTAAATTACATAGTTACACACATGACCCCTTGTTTGCCAAAATGATTTGTAGATGTCTAGAAAGATTGTTTTAAAATTTGCTAAGGAATTCAACGCTTTTGGGAGTGTCAAATCTCTGATGGGCTCTTTAAAAAACAGTGGTCATACTACTGCTTTTTGACTGTCATGACAGTTGTGAAGGCATACAGTATCCATATTTGAGGGGAAAATATGTTTCAGGAATAATAAACATGCATGAGCCAAAAACAGAAAAATCTAAGAAATCTTGGCCTAAAGCCAAACTCCGAATAAACATTTTCTTAGCCCTTGCAAAGGGGCTACCCCACTGCTCTGCAAAGGATAAGTGCTTGTTTGCTGCCTAGGGTCAAAAATAAAAAAGTTATGCTCACCTGATCTTCCGAGCCAGCTTGCTCTTGCTCCCCTCCGCTGCAGTGGTCTAAGGTCCCTGAGATATCATGTTCTATACACAGTGTATAGGATGTCAGAATGCCAAGGGACATGCCATCGCTGCAGGGGAGGAGGAGACAGGCAGGAGGGTGCACTGTCACTGCTGGCCAGCTCGGAGGATTGGGTGAGTATGAAGGTGCCCATACACTGTGCGATTATCGCACGATAATCGCGGGAAATCCCGCGATCGTACGATAATCGTAAAGTGTATGGCAGTCGCACGTCTTTTGTCTAAGGAGCATGTTCGAAAACCAGCCGAAAATCTTACGATTTTCTGCTGGTTTGTGGCATGCTCGGGAGACAAATGCCGAACGGGCCGGTGTGCGCACGCGCACACTGCCCGTTCAGCATTGCGGTCATCGGAAGCACGCCCCTCAGGGGGGCGGGCTTTCGATGATCGCAAGTTCGATCTGCCTGTCCAAGATGGGCAGATCGTACGTTTTTTTAATTACTTTACAACCATCGCAAGACTAAGGTCTTGCGATGGTTGTAAAGTGTATGGCCACCTTAACTTTTTTATTTTTGACCCTAGGCAGAATCAAGCAGTTAAACCTTGCAATGTGGGGGTAGCCTCACAGCAAGGGTTCAGAAAATGTTACCTTCTTTAAAGGTAAATCCCAAGGGATCATTGTGTTGACGATTTATAAATGAGTATATTTCTTAGTGGCTTCGCTGACATGTTCCCTTACATGTTTCATATAGTAAGTGTATACTCTTATACTCCCAAGAGTAAGTGTAAGGGTATACTCTTTTTATGGTTATATTATTTATGTTATATTATTATAACAACAGAATGTGTGTGTGTACTTGTGTGTGTACATTAGTTTGAGGTAGACTCAGATTTATTCACAGATGGACCTCCTGGACCCTAATGAAGGAGCGTAGTTAATTCTTAACATTTGAATAAGAAAGAAAATTGTGTATGTGTTTTTGAGAGCTGCAGACCGACACGGCAGTGTCTATATATATTGTATGCTCATGAAAATATTGTGTAAATGATTATTGATTAATGACTAATGATTCATTGTTAAATAACTTTTTTTTTGTTTAATATATTTTTATTTCCATATACATGAATATAAACACACGTACATACATTCTGGGCACAAACATATATCAAAGACTTCATATCGAAGGGAAATTAATTCATAAACTTAACTATCATTCTCTATATATTTGGCAGAAGCTTCAACCTTACTTTATTACAACATAGACATAGCAATTCCCTTTATTTTACAAAACCTATTATTGTCCATTTCTACTGTTTTACCCATTTCTCCCATACAATCTAAATCTCTCCTCAGTTGTGGAGGGAAGGGAAGTCCAAATATTATAGGGATCCATGTAAACCCTTCCTTATTAACTAATCTCCCATATGTGCAGTTCTATAAAAATGTTTGTGCTTTCAGCCTTCTATCCCCTAATTGTGGATTCCTTTATAATATATTCCCCTTGATTTCTTTCCCCGCCTACCCTAACATGTCTATTCACGTGGATATATTCCCTATTTCTATGTGAACCCCTTACGTATATTTATAAAACCTGTGAATAACACACTAGCTTTCCCCCACTTGTGATGGGAACTATAGTACCCTTTAACCTTACTTCTAACATGCTCTTCTTCCAACTGGGAAATCTAATTATTTGTGTTCTTCTATGTGATATTTTAACCCATTTATTATAACCTAAATTTCTATTTACTAAACCTTGTGAAAATCCCTCCTAACCCTTTTCACTTCTAAATTAATATATTTATTCACCCTCGGACTTCCCTTCCTCCCACATTCTATCCTCCTTCTTCCCCTTACTTCCATACATATAGGTCAAATGCATTTATAATCTACTATAAGATAATAAATCCAGATACTGTTTGAGTTTAGCTATTTGCTTGTTGGCCCATTTGTTTCCATGACCCTAAAGAGGCTTCATCTCTATATTTTTTCATTTCCTCCCTAACTTTTATTATCAGACTCCTAAATATTTCGGACTTTCTATAAGACTCCCATTTCTCCCATATATACTCATGTTTGTCTTTTTTACCATTATCCTTTGCGATCAGATCCTCCATGTAGTCTCCCACCCCTCTAATGAGGGGGGAATCCTAGATTTCCAGCCCCGTGATATGTTTACTCTAGCCGCGGCCAATACAAATCTCAAA